ATCAAAGATAAGGATGTTTGCTTAGAAAAGAGTTTTTCTTGATGATTTATGATGTTGAAGTGGTTGATTAAGCAGCGAAGATTTTTTTGCTTTTTCGTCTACAGCGTGATACGTACCTAAGCTACCATTTGCACTTATCAATAATGGAATTTCATAGAATGCAATGCCAATCTGATTAGGGATCAGCTCTAGGAGGTCACTTTGCTCTATCAACAATACCTTCGCTAAGATTCACGCTCATGCTCTGCCTCAAACATAAAACACTATAAAAGTTCCTCTGACTTGCTCCTTGTCAACAGTCGGACAGCGTTTTGGTTGTCCAGGTCGCCACTTTTTTGATGTCGATGATAACAAGATGAATATGTTCACAACGCAATGAATGAATCACACATACCAAATGCCATTGAATGTGTTCCTCGGAACTCGAAAGCCTCGAGTGATTTCTGTTAGAATTCTTAGAACAACCCAATTATTGACAACCATAAAGCTCCTCAGATCTCATCCGAGCTATATGGAGTGATAACTCTGAAGATCGATTTCATTTCGATCAGTTTGATAGGCTATCTATGTGTGAACATGTCGAAGCTTGTATGTGCTCAAAACGGCATCTTCTTTCACCAGTAGTTTGCGAGAGGCCGACTTCAAAGTTGACATTTCGTACCCTAGTGTAGGTCAGTGGTGGTGGAGTCAACGACTCGTAATGATAATTCAGCATTGATTCGCTGTGTTTCAGCCTATGACTTGCTTATAATTTCATTTCCAGCGCCAAGTAGTTTATAACTGAGGAAAGTGCCATAAAACCGATCTCGCCACTGGTCTCCGAAACTCCAATAATATCAAGTGTATATAGTAGCTTATCTATCTATCATGCTGCAGTGGAGCGCACACGTATATCTTTGCATAGTGGGAAAAGTTTTTGTGCAGTGATTCAATTTCCATTATTATTCCTAAATATTTGTAGGTAAGGCTACACAGGATGTTCAGTACTTAAATGGGTATAGTGAACTGGTAGGTAGTATGGTCCGAGACCATTTCATATCTGAAAATGTAAAAGTCTTTTTCTATACATTCCAAATCTTTCGGTTTTTTAGTTAAATATTCATTCAAATGTCTAATTTTTAGCAGTTTATGTGACACAGAACTCAAAACTTGGTTTCATCAACATTTAGAATTGCAGGGTCGGATTCAGTTTTTTACTTCCTTGTATTTAATTAATCCCATCGTCTTGTGAGTTATACTCTGGATTTATTATTATTTCGCATAAAAAAAACGCTTACTATATAAATAAAAGGGAAAATAAATGCCTTGCAGCCTAGTCAGTTTTTAAAAACTTTCATATTTTTTTGCGTCAATAACAAAACAGGTCTACGGTTTTGAACACTTTCTCTTTATCAATTAATCGCAAACGATACGAGTAAGCAGGCATCTCATTCCATGCTGTTCAGCGTAAGGGCTACCTATTGAATTATTTTCATAAAAAAGTATGAAGGATAACTATTGCAGGCACAGGCTATTTTTACCGGTCTTCATATTCACAAGAAAACTCTTACATATTGAACAAAACGATTCGCATTCGTCCCGAAAGAAAGGAACACACTGGCAACTCTTAACGCCAGTTATTTTATTGCCTAATTATTTTTGCATCCTTTATGTAGAATTTCCTTTTACCATATTTGTTGAGCTTGACAGTAAAGAAAATAACTTCGCATTCAGCGAGGGTCGTTTATTTTACTTGAACCGAAACGAATGACGCACAATAACCTATCATTACAAAAAACTTATAGAGTTCATTTCACTGATTTAACGTGTCCATAAAGCTGGAGCTTAATTATGGAAAATGTGTATTTATGGCCGTTTTATTTAAAGTAGTTGGCTCGAAAGCTTGCACATTTATCAGTCCAAAGACCTATTTAATGGGTTATGGGTTTTAACGATCTAAAAAATTACTGTTCGCAACCAGTAAATACCTAGGGACCTATGGCGACAGCATGGAACGATTTCGATATCTACTTCGTAAGTAATTTCTCAAGTGGGGACTGAAAAGTACAAGCGTGTATCGTCGACAATTAAGTCTATTCGATGAAGCGACCATGAAGCAGCTTCTGAATGAAAGTTGTGCTCTTTTCAGTTCAGGTATTAGTGGTCAGTTAGCGAAAAGGTTGGGAGTAACGTGGACTGATTAAAAATAATAGAAAACGCTTCGTTAGGTTACGAAGAAAATTGAACGAACACTATGGTAAGAAATGAATATTTTGAAAAAGTTACTGCAAATGAGACTTAGTTTGATTTCCTCCTAAAAAGTGTCTTTTCGCACTTTTGAAAGAACGATTACGACTTGCGTCGTTTCCAGGCCTGAAAGCCACATGCATCTGATACTGAGCGTGAGCGGACTTGCCTCCCTCCCGATTATGGCAGAGGCAAGCTCACAACACCTCGTTCAATATGGAACAATGGCAGAAACTCGTTGGACCTCTAGAGAAACTAGGCACCGTTGTCTATCTATTTAACGTGATGAAAATCTACCTTATCGAGAGAGAATGCTTATAGTACCATGAAGGTGATGAATCTGGCCATGGGAGTGCTGCATGGATCTTAGGGGCGCTTCTTTAAAACAGGTTCTACGATGGCGTTCTTCGAATGCAGATGATATCAGGAATTCGCTTGACAGTGTACGCTGGAAATACTTCTAGCATATAGAATCACCACGATTACCATATAGATGGAAGAGAGCTGGTTGAAGCTAGCTTCTGAGAAGATGAAAGTCGTGATACTTTTCGGCACACAGAAGCTAATGTCATTAGCACTTGAGGTTGACAATGCTGAGGTTCAAAGATAAAATGTGATTAATTATCTGGGAGTATGGCTCGACAATTACCTTAGTTCAGTGTTTCTCAAAGTGAACAATAACGCCCCCTTGAGGGTGCTGTGGACTTCTGCTTTTCATTGTTACAAGGAAATTCGTTCTCAGAAGTACTTATGCACCCCCTGCTCTTCAATCTTCAATCGAGTCGAACATCTTGAACCATTTCGGGAGGCACTAGAGCATAATTATTTTGAAGGAGGACCGTAGACAATATAACTTTGAGAAACTCTGATTTCGACTGATTGAACACTTTAGGCGCACGACTGATATGGCAAATAAAGTCGTTGCTCCTCTGATTCGGCTTATGCCATCTGTGGGAGGCCCCAGTAGAAAGAGCCGTAGGATTTTGACCGGAATGACAAACATAATTATACTGTATGCTACGCCAAGCCTTTGAGGAAGAGGAGCTATAGACAGTTAATGCTGAGAGCTTAGCGAAAAGTAGAAGTGCGTATGATCCGCGCTCTTAAAACGGTATCTAAAGATGGATCTCTGGTGGTGGCTGGTATTCCGTCAATCATTTGCTGGCGCTTTACAAAGAGCGAGTACCTGAAGATTACATCTTACAGTGACGAGGATGATACTCTTGATTATCTACTCGGCAAGCGAGTTATTGCTCACGATTTTGCCAGGTGTTTCAGAAATGGATTATTAATAGTGAAGCGAACGATGCTGAGAAATGGTACGTGATGATAAAAACAGACCAAGTAACGAACTGGGTTGTACATATACAAGATGTTGAAATCATGCAGGCTGTAATGGGATTTGTAGCGATGGGCGTTTTAGTGAGTATGCTGAATTTTCGGAGAATTTCACACTTCGGGCATGATGGTACTTTCAGGCTGCCTGAGAGTGGCTATAAAAAAAAATTTAATAAATGTTGTCAAGTATAGATACTTAAGTCATCTTTTCAGTTTGAAATCCGTAGAAATTTCCTCCAGCGTAATATTTTCGCTTCCAGTTTATCATGGGAAGTCATGAAATTATTTTTGTACGCCGCTGAAAGGTTGTAGCAGCCAGAGTTACTATCTAGCAGCATCCATGTGTGCGCCGGCGTTAGTGGTGGGTATTTACATCGGTGATAAACGATAGGGGCATTAATAAATTTTAATTATAACAAAGCGAGCGAAAAATAAAGCAGGACAGGGGTCGGCTGACGAGCAACCATCGGGCTGACGATCTTTCTCATGCTCCATAAATCACCACAGTCGCCGACACCGATAAAGAAAGACGTGAATCAGTGAGTCAGTCATTAAGGCAACATTTTGTAATCCAATACATACTACTTAGGGATCCTTTTTGCACATATTTTCGCGGTAATTTCCAAAACCGACCTCTTTCGCACAATTCAAAACACCCCTGGGTTAGAGTCCCGTCCGATCGAAATTTCTACCGTACATATTCGTCGTTCGTTTTCTTAATGAGATGGTCGTTGTGTGATTGCGACAGTTTGCATATATCGTTTCATGTTTGAACAACAGTAAGCATATACTTCCTAGACAAGATGTTTTTTAGAAATTTAGAAATAATACTTCTTTCCGTATAAAATATAAACAGATAAATTCTAATTCTAGTTAATTTCAACGTTAAAATTCAATGCCATTGTCTCCTAAAAGCAAGTATAATCTCTACTAGTATTATTGTATATGAAAGTGTGTCTGTTGTATGTTCCGTTTTTGGGCCAAAACGGCTGAACCCATTTTGATGAATTTTTACATAGATATAGGTTAGGCGTTGGAGACGGACATAACCTTTTGTTGGAAAAATAGAACTTGAAGGAGTCGAAGTAAAGATGGTTACTATAGGGACATTATTATTCTTTATATTGTGGATACTATTCTGGGTTTTTTTTATACTTCATTGGTATAATGTAAATGAGCATTTACAAAATAGTTATGAATTTTATAGCCCCTAGAGGGAGAGATTTGAAGCTGTCATCTTCTAAATAAATATCCTTCTTTCTCATTACAAACACATCGTTATCAAACGCAATACACACAACTTATTTATACATTTAACGCGTCTTCGGCCTCAAGGGAAGGCAATCAGTAAATCAAGAATCAAGGTCAGTAAAAAGGGTGATTGTCTTACTCTAAACATTAAAATCTTTTATGAATAAATATTATTGTTGTTACAGGTTATGGCAATATCTTTCCACACACCCCTGTTGGTAAGATCACGACTATAGTATATGCCATTGTAGGGATGCCATTATTCTTGCTGTATTTAAGCAATATTGGAGACATCATGGCGCGATCTTTCAAGTGGATTTATGCCAATTGCTGCCTTTGCAGGTAATATGCAAAATCATGTTCATTAAAATATCACACACAGACTCATTAGCCTTACACGATCAGTATCTACTGAGAATTCATCAGTATTTATCATCAAATTCGATACCTATTGACCATATTGCCAGAGTGTCAGCTACTACTGATGCATAATCTTACGTGCAACATGAAAATGAGTAAGTTCTGATGGTATGGACCACAGTGAATATTGATCGCTTGACATTAGCCTTACTGTTGTATTAATTTGACGTCGACGGCGGATATCTCGCTTATAACCTAGAATTGTGTAACAACCTGTATAGTCCTAGGCTACTCTACGCTCTGCCTTGAATATCGCATCTCTTTTTTAGCATTGATTGACGTATTTTACCTGAAGATAGCCAACCCTGGTGAATCAATGTTTTTGGACAATACAAGCACCTAAAAACACAAGCTATAAAGCAATTGTCACAGATACCTGTTACTCCTTAATTTTTGCGTTTCATCATGAGCCAATCCTTCATGTACATAAAAAATTATAGTTTAGATGATTGATAATTTATTCAGGTGGTGTCCAGGTGTTGCAAAAAGAAGAGCTATGAGACGTATTCGACGGGAGCAGAAAATGAGCCAAGCAGTAGGAAGTGATGAGGAAGGTGGGAGTAGTAGTAAAACTTCTAGTGATGTAAGTATCTACTAACCCATTTGCGTTTTGCTTCTTCTTATTTGAGACAGAAGAGACTATGGAGAGCAGACTGGCTATTTATTGATAACGAAGGGCTGGTTTGTAGTATTTATGTATAAACTGTACATAATATGTTTATTCACTACTAACATGAGAATTCGCCATAATTTACTGCATTTGTCTGAGGAGAAGTTATAATCCTGGTAAATAATGAGAGTGAAGAAAAATCTAGGTAAAAAATAAATTGGGCATTCATTTAGATCTTTATTGGCTTGTTGGAATTGTCACGGATATTGAGCCCTTTAACCAATTACCAATAATTATTTTTTACTACAAGTGAATATAGCCTGCCTTATGACTGGAATTATTCGAACATTTGAAAATGAGTACGAAACAAACGATGTCGACGAACACAGAACCTTCGATATCTATCCCATGCTACGCCTCATTTTGTGGGTGTAGAAAATGCGTCAGCTTTATCTGTCAGTGTTGCCTGACATTGTCCGACACGTTACATTTCTAAATTTAATTTGATTAAATGTAGTAATATATCTTATATAGTAGTGGTAGTAAGGTATGCAATGTATCAACGTATGTCCTAAAAGCTTTGTCACAAAATTCATTGGCTTTAAATTTAGCAAACACAAAACGATATCAGGTTGCCTTTGGTAACAAAAGCTTGCTTACGTATTTTACTGTCAGTTGACATTGATTTATTCTGAAGTTCTCGCTTTAAGATGTCGTATAAATCAGAAATAAGTAAAAGTATTTACAAGTTGGTTGGGCATGTACCTAAACCTGAAATCTGTCGAATATTACAGAATGAAAACATTTCATGCAGAACCATTAATTTTTCGAGCAATAGCGGAGTGCGCGCAAGGAATATCATGTCTGACTCACCCAAAAAATGGAAGACTACGTGCATTTACTGCACAGAGGTCAGAGAGATTGGTCAGAAGAGCAAAAAATTAGGTTGGAATGTCAACAAGGAGACTGGCTCGTCAATACAGATCTTCTAAGAGTACGATATTTCGATCTTTCTTAAGTGCCCCAAATACTCTCAAGCGCAGCTCCTTCGTATACCAAGACGCTGTCGTCAATTGAGGCAGGTACACTTTGCCAATGAAAAATTATTATTTTTGATGACGAAAAGTATTTAACTTTGAGCACATAAAATGAAGGAAAACGACGAATTTTATACGGACAACGTAGAGACAATGTTAGATACAAAGATAAAGCGAAATTTGCAGATAAAATCCTTGTCTGGTGTGCAGTTTCTAACATGGGTGTATCCCAACCTTTTGTGGGAAGAGTGAGGGGTGAAGCTTTGAATAGTCAGATCTATATTAATAAGTGCCCTTCCAAATTGCTTCAGTTTGTCCATGAACATCACGCTAATGACCATATCATGCTTTGGTCAGACAGCATCATGCCATTACTCAAGAAATACCCAAAACTGGATTCGTTAACACAACCCACCTTTTGTTCTCAAAACCGATAATCCTTCAATATGAAGAACAACCAAGACGGCGAACTTCTGAAAATCTGAGAGAAATTGATCTAAATTCCGTCCAGGACTTCATGAGAGACATTCGAAGAAAGTTGCATCTGGTAGAGCAGAATAAACCACTCAACATATTTCGATAGTATCGTTTTGTTAAGTATTGAGTTGTAATTTATGATAAATAGTTAGTGTTTAAACAAATTACTTCATTAAAAAAAAATCCGATATCTTGTGTCAAAACTTTTAGGACATATTTACGTTACTGTGTGGCCACTGCGGCTCCCTTTATTGGCCAGCATGTGAACATTGAGCTGGAATGTGGCTAACTTTCATTTGGAAAGTTACATTCAACGTCGTGCGACATTCAGGTGGTTTGCTTTCCAAAAATTTTCATAAAAGAATCCAGAGGCCTCTAAGTTCATGCCTGTTTCGGAGATCTTTCAGTCCATATCGTAAGTTGAACTGGTTCGCGGAAAAATGATTCCCTCATCAACAAGTCATACACATATTCTTTGCCGATATGTATACATACATGGATACACATTTTCTATGAAGGAAAACGAATTGCAAAAGCCTGACAGAATGTGCACACGGAAATACGTTTAACATGGACAAGAATGTGGACGCTATTTGTATGAATGCATACTACATGACAAATCGCGATTGAGGCAACAATATCGTGAATTTATTGACTGACGGAAATAGCTGTGAGGCAAAAAAGAAATTATTGGTGTGCAGCGAGCAGGAAATGTTGGCTTAAAGTAGATTTATATGGTCGATCTGTGAATTGATTATTACCGGTACGAAGTTTTAGCTAATCAGAAATATAGTTTTCGCTCGTCCTACGGCCAACCATGGACAGCTGTTTCGTGCTATTTGGCAACTGCACGATGTAGGCCTCGTCTCACGTAGGACTACGAATGGAAGCTAAACAACTATCCTCTACCCAAAGTCTATCGAAATAAGACAGCAAACAGTGCCAGCAACCTGTTTATTGGAACTGTATCCCAATTTGCATTTCAGCCAGATCACGATTGTGGCCGCTAGATGTCGCCGCTTTTGGTGCTATTACAGATACGGTCTCTGGCCATTAAAAAAATTAGTAATATAGCTGTCGGTCGTGCGACCAGATACATAGTCTGGATAGAGGGTAGCCTACATCATGCTGAGGAGTTAACCAAAAAGCACGAAACACGGTCTGCCATCTGTGGTCGGTTTGTTCAATGGCGATTAGACCATATCTGCTATAGCACCAGAATTAGCGGCATCTAACGGCCACACTAGTGACCCGGCAGACAATGCGAGGTGGGTTACAGTTTCAATAGACATCTTGCTGTTTTCACCTTCGCAGAGGTTGAGTTTATATTGACATACATTTTTGAGTGTATCTCACATTACCCGATTGAAAGGCTTGCTTTTTCAAAACTCAAGTTCTCGCTGTAGGGAATAATTCATACAGCATCGCATTGACACACCAGACCTTACAATAATTTTATTTTCGCTATGTGATATTCGTAACCATGCGCGATGCGAAAAAGTATACGGCTTGTGTAAAAAGGGTTCTAATCTCTATAGTTAATTAAGAAATTCTCCACAAATCACCTGGTTTAGCAGAAAATCTATTTCTCTATTTCATTCTAAGACCAAAATAATTTTTTCATAGAGATCAAATTCATCCTATCAGAAAGAATGCTTATTTATTACTGGAACCATGGACGAAATGTTATATAATAAATTGATGAGCTACCAGCTAGTACGTATTTTATTATACAGGGTGACTTCGAAGTTGAGTCATTTATTTTAACAGTGAGTAGATCTGATCAAAAGAAATGTTTTTTTCCTTTAACATTTTTCTGGTAAAATGAAAGTAACAAAGTTATAGCCCTTTAGAAGTTTGAGTACCGCCCTGTCTCAATAATAATATTATGTGCTCGTGTTTGCCGACAACGGATATAATCCGCCTTATCGGTTCATCGCATCGGAAACAAAAAAGCGAAAGAATTTGGAACGATGTTTTTACAATTATTTCATTCAGTTGTATACAGTCAGTGTCAGTCGGTAGTGAATAGTGGTGCTGTTGCGTGGCTCAAACGAAATTAAAAATGGCACATGTTTATGCGGATCGGTTTCCCAATCGAGTGCAACCAACCCCTCGTGCCTTTGTTAATGTAGTACAACGGGTTCGTGAATCAGGTGACTTAAGACCTCACATATGGACGGCATGCCGGTGCTCCAAGACCGCACGATCAAATACAGGTCCGCACTGAAATACTTGTCGGGGATACTTTATAAAACAAGGTAACATTTTTTTTATTTTTTTTTTATTTTTACACACATATTTTGGTTTATCTTCCTTCTACAATCATTATCTGAACATTAATGACTCAACTTCAAAGTCACCCTGTATATAAAAAGTGTCATTACTTACCTACCTGAGAGATAGTTTAACAAAAAATCAAAATGTATATTCTTGAACAAGTCGATTAAATCGCCGTCGAATGTTGTATTTAGATATATGAACCACTGTTTCCCGACATGTTTGGCCAGCATACCGTCCGAGTCTGGACGACGTTTTTGCTAAAGTATACATAAAGGTATTTCAATGCGTACGTTTCTTTGGGAAAACAAACAATTGAAATCAGAACAGCCCTCTGTCAGTTATTTAGTGCTTCCACATCACATTCATCAACGGAAAGACGTGAGGCTGGAATAGCGGTAGATTTGAAAAATAAATGTTATTTCGACCCTTCCATTGAACTGAAATATACTCGTATATGTGTGTAAAAGCTGAACTACCTCGGGGTTAAAATATAATTATTTTTACAGTGCTTTTCTTAAATGTCCCTCCCCTTTGATTTTTTGAACGGATGAATTCAGAAAATTGAAACTTGAGGTAATGAAATTGATGCGTCGATACTATATTTTAGAGTGAAATTAACAGATGAAAATGTCAAGATAGCCGCTGCGCGCCATCTTGGAAAAAACAATTATATGAAAACGGGGGTCTTGTGGCACAGCGCTTTGAAGCTCCTAACGAGTACTTTATGACCCTAGAATATAAAGTCACTTACCTACTACAAAATGGTGGTACATGTAATAGTTACTAGAACACAAACCCACTAACATGCATATCTCTACAAATAATAGTAATTCCCTGCCGTATCCACAGCAACCGCGATAAACACTTGTTTTGTTATTTTTTGTTGACAGTGACAAGAATATCAGTTCGAAAACAAACATCGTTGTACAATTAAAATATCTTCATTAAGTTTTCGGTTTTAGTGTTAGATACTGTTTGAACTATTTTTAAAATGGTCAATTCTCGTCTATTGGAAGAAAAAATCGAAGCGATTTTTATTTATTTTGCGACGCTTAACTTTCACGAGACCAAAAGGATTTTTAATGATCGTTTCCCGAATCGTCCTATCTATACAAAATATTTAAGGGAACTTGTATCTGAATTTACAGCTACTGGTAGTGTAAACATCAAATAGCC